ACTTTAAGAGCAAGTTTTCTTCCACTACATTCTTCTTTTGTTTCCGTGTTCCTTGCACCACAAAAGAAAACTAGTTTATTTTCTTACATAGTTTACAAGGTAACATATTGATGTTTTCTGAATAAAAGGCAATACTTGAGGAATTTTTTAATCACAATCTCCAATATATATATATATATATATATATATATATATATATATATATATATATATATATCTTTTTATTAGGGTGTGCTGGAAGACGGAAAAGTAGTAGCTATAAAGCGACTCTCAGAAACATCCCAACAGGGACATGAAGAGTTCCAGAACGAAGTCAATTGTATCGCCAAACTTCAGCATCGGAATCTTGTGAAGCTCCTTGGATATTGCATTCATGGAAATGAAAAGATTCTAATTTATGAATACATGGATAACAAAAGCTTGGACTCATTTTTATTTGGTTTGATCCTCTCTAATTTCTTACATTTACACTTGTTGTAGTCGACTTGCATTGACTAAGTAGTTCATATTGAGCAGATGAAACTAGAAGTTCAATGCTTGATTGGCCTCAACGCTTTAACATTATCCATGGTATGGCACGAGGTATTCTTTATTTACATCAAGATTCCCGCCTCCAAGTCATCCATAGAGATCTCAAGGCAGGTAATATATTGTTGGACAGCCAAATGAATCCAAAAATATCTGATTTTGGGCTTGCAAGAAAGTTTGTAGGAGAGGATGCCACGGCTAAGACAAAGAAGGTGGTTGGAACACAGTAAGAATCTACAAAATATTTTAACAATTCCTTCGAATGAAAATGGGAGATTTTCGAATAAAACAAACACAAAATCATAGCAAAGCTAATAATATGTGTTTAATTATGAATTGGACTTGGGTGCAGTGGATATATTTCTCCGGAGTATGCAGTACATGGGCGTTTCTCAATAAAATCGGATGTATTTAGCTTTGGTGTTCTTGTGCTAGAGATAGTAAGTGGGAAGAAAAACAGAGAATTCTCTCACAAGGCTCATAGTGACAACCTTCTTGGACATGTAAGTTAATCAGCTAATATTAAACTGATAGATGTAAAACTAAATCACCCTTTGACATACTTATATGATCTATGATGGGTTTCGATCAGGCATGGAGACTCTATAAGGAAGGCAAGTCCATTGAACTCATGAGTGTGTCTTTACGTAACTCATGTGTGTCCTCTGAAATACAACGATCAATACATGTTGGATTATTGTGCGTGCAACATCATGCAGAAGATAGGCCAACTATGTTATCAGTGGTTCTTATGTTGATTAGTGATGGGGTATTGCCTCCACCTAAACAACCAGCCTTTTTCACTGAAGAAAGTAACGGATTACTTAACTCTGTTTCATCGTTGGATGATGAATACATGATAACACTATTGTATCCTAGATAGATGGCCGGATGTACAAAAGGGAGGAGGGTTGTATGTGTGTTAAGAATATGCTTTGGTAATTATGTATTATTTGGGGTTACTTTTGTACATACCCATAACTAATGGTGGTTTCCGTATTTTCCCCTGGTTACCTTTGTATCCATATTATTTTGAAACATGTTATTGTACACTTCATTATTATCTAATACAATTAATAGACTACTTCATCATCTTTTGCCATCTCAACATAGGTTCATGATAATTTTGTTTTCTCAAGTGATCCCACAACACAGAAGACTTGACAAATGGCATTTTTCACATAAATGTCATAATTGTATGAAGATAAGAATCCATAAGAGATGTGTCATCCTTGACATTACTTGAATTAGAATGGCAAGGTTAACTTTAAGGTAAGGATTTAAATGGCATTCACATCTTTTGCATAGAAGTGTGAGAGCCAGTCTTTGCCTATCTTTGGCCACCTTCTTAGATGAGACATAACATCGTAATTTTATCTTATCTCATCAACGCCACTCTCAATCTTAATCCAGATGCACAATATAACAAAAGTGTTATATTGCATGTATTGCATCTGTTATGCACAATAAATAAAACAAGACAACCCTAGAAAGCTTAAATCATATTGTACAAAATTAAACATTTTGTTTCATGTGGCATGATATCAAACCCTAGTTATATTTCGATGACAATCGTATATGAACATAGGAGCCTTAAGTCATTTTGATGACATGGTATGAAACACTTTAAAATGGAGTTGACTCTGGTTCGAATCTTGGGGTGACATGCTGATTAAAAAAAATGTCATTTTGTTGATTAGGGATTATGTAATCCTGTATCGAGGGCATTATACACTGCCTCTAGTGATACACCTTCAACTATCAGAACCTTGTCCCTTGATTTCGACCCGGCACCCAATGAAACTTGCCTCTTTTTTACCCCTATAACCTATATATAATATATAAATGGGAACAAATATAACTTGAGTATATACTAAATAGTGAGAAATAAATAACAAGAAGAAACTAAAAAACTATAAAATATTTAATGTCTCAACTTCATTCTTTACAATCATTTGGTGATTCTAGAGATAATATTGGTTGGAGAAATTAAATATCTTCCTACCTTTTCTTCCTACTTATCTTTTTACCTAATGAAATCATGACACGTGTCATATTTGGATAAAATTAATAATATTTTAATACACTTGTCATAATTTCAAATGGGTAGGAAGATATGTAGGAAGAAAAGTAGGAGGATATTTAATTTCTCGGTTGGTTAAGATGCAAGAGAACGATTTTGGCTTTGTGCTGCAGTATTCAAAATATGAAAAGAAATTCTATGGCTTCATGCGCATACTTATGTATATTTTATCAACTTATAATAGATATTAATTTATTACATTTACTGTTTTTAAAGTTTATACAACTTATATAACATTATCACTATAAATGAAAATCTACAATATAAAAAACAAAAAAAAAAAAAATTCCAAGAAGCACCTATTGGGCTAGGGGCCATTTGGTCATAACTGAAGGGAAAAAGGGAACAGAGAAAGGGGTTCAAAAAACAACAAAAAATGAAAACTTATGAAAAAGGAAATTAGAAGAATTTAAAACATATACAATATTAACTATTACAAATTTATAAGCATAAATGCATAATGCCCCAAAAACAAGCCAGTGTATAGGATTATTGGGGAATTATAATAAAAAAAATCACACAGAAAAAAAAACTCAAACCCTGAAGGATTTTAAAAGTGATATGCTATAAATATAATAAACATATATTTGAAAGTATGTTGCTATTTCTTAACTCAGGAGTTATGGAAAAAAGATTACTGAGCTTATAAAATCAAGGAGTGCAGCATTGGCTTCACCATCCTTTGCAGGTGCATCAATTTGTACTCCTAAACTATCATCATCAAAATCTAAATTTCCAATACATTAGTAGTTTCAGCTTTTTAATAATTGGGTTGGGGAAATTATACTTTGAAAAATCATTCAAACGTAATGAAAGTTCTTTTGTATGTTTTCAAATCTTGTATTAAACCTGAAAAAAAAAAAGCTGTAATGGTAGAAACTTTTGAACCATGCTTGGCATGTATGGTGATAGCTACAGATGAAGGGGGGATAAATCGCATACATCCAGAGAATTTGGTTGTAGAAGGTGGTGGAGGCATTGACTCTGTTGACTTGGCTTTAGCTTTACCTTTTTTTGTTGGGGGCATTTTGTTGTTTCAAGAATCTGATAAATGAGCGCCAATCAATGTTAATCAAGTACAAAAACGTACGAATGCCTTTTAGCTTATTTACACATCCCTTATTACCAATTTATGCAATTTATAGGATATGGTTAAATGTTGATTATTTTGGTCCTAACGCGTGAAATGTTGCAGAAATGTCTTCATTATAGATAAATACCAAAAGAAAAAGAAGAAAAGCCAACTCTATCAATGTTTTTCTTCCGAAAAATATTTAATTCATAATTTGATATTAGCACAAATGTTGTGGTCCTAAAATGCTCAGCTACTTTCAAAAAATTTGATAAATAAGAAATAACAAAAATAAACAATTACCTACAAGATACTAAAATCAGAAGGGATTTGTCATTGACATTAACAATATCAATAGATCTCATCTATGACAAACGAAAATAAAAATAATAATAACATCAATGAGTGCCTTTGACTAGCAATAAGATACCTATAATGCCCCTTATAGGAGGGATTGTTGTATATTAAATGCAACTCTTTTTATAAAATAAAACCATTGAATTACTTGGTAACTAAAATGAATGGAAATGTGCATGATGGAATTAAACGTGAGCCCTAATTTAATGCAGTTAACTTCTATTGGCAAACTGAAATAGACCAAGTCTTCAAGAACGTGACTAGACCAAGTCCTCTATGTTGATTCATGCATGTGTTAATCCAAGGACAAGATCGTATCAATACTTCGGCCCTAAAAAACGGCCTTGTCCTTAAGCCGAGCTCGTGTTGTGTATTGACGGTCCATAGTGGGTCGGTTTCCGATTGAAAGATTAGAAATTTGGGTGGGTTGCATTGGTGACCCAGTTGGTATTTTGTGGGACAACTGTAGCAAACACATTCGGCCGTCACTTTTTGCATTCCGATGGGGCTTAACCGCTTGATCGGAAGTTGTGAAGAAGATGGTGAAGGGGTGGGCAATAAGGGTGGTTTTATTGGCAACGGTACGTGAGAACCATCGAATGACAGGAGTTGAGCATGGAGCTTGTCTTCGATGACCTTCGTAAGGCCGTAGGCTTGATGAAGTATGGTGGGTTTGTGGAATGCGATTTCATTTTGAATGTTATCTCGAAGGCCGGAAAAGAAATAATTGAGCAACGATTCTGGGTGAAGTTGACGACGCAATTGCTAGTCTTCTCAAAATCCGCTTGGCAGGCAGAAATGGTGGAAGTTTTTGTAAGGTTATAGAGTGTGGCTTGATTATTTACATACGTGGATGGGCCGAAACGTAACTCCAATGCTCGCAAAAAAATTTGTCCAGTTTCTATGTAGTTGGTTGTTAGCCAAATATTTGTAGCCAAAACGCAGCAGAACATTTGAGTCCGACCACACTACATCAGATGCTCGTGTTCAATTTGATCTGAACGAAGATGAACCTGTTCCAGTTTCACCACCTTTCCGACCAATGGGAAGAGACAAAACAAAAAGCAAAGGCAAAGGCAAAGCGTCGGATTCAGATGATTTGAAAGAAATGGGAGCCGACATGAAGGGTATAAAAGACAGAATGGACAAGATTTTGCAAATTGCTTCTGAAAGAGAGCTTCGGAAACAAAGGGAGAGCGACATGCGAATACTAGCGACGGACACGTCGAATATGACCGAGGCCGAGCTTGAAGTGGTTTTGGTGATGAAGGAGGAAGTGAAAAATCGTTACATCAATCGTGGCTAATTTCTAGTTTTTTTTTCAAGTTTTTAATCGTTTGGTGTGTGTGTTTTTTTTAAGTTGTAGGTTTTATGTTTCTAATTTGTTTTTCTAAATTTTTAGGTTTTTTTTAAGTTAAGTAATGTATGGTATTGGTATTTTTAATTAATGAAATATTATCTTTTTAAAATTATGTTTTTTTATTAAAAAAATAAATTTTATTAAATTAAAATAGTTAACAAAAAAAACAAAAAAAAAATAAAATAAAAGTGTGGCACCACCCCCTTGGTGTGTCAAGAAACCATACTTGTGTGGTAAAAAATGACATGACGCTTATGTGGCGGGGGAGGGAGTGCGGTTTCGGTGGCACCACTCCCTCCAACCTTAGGATTTTTTTTGCAAAAAAAGGGTCGTGGCCCACCTTACCACCCTCCACTTCAAGTAATTTCATTTTTGGCCTTATCGTTTTTATCTTTTTTCCCCTCCATAATATGTTAATTGCCAATATAATTCTATAAACAATTCGTACTACTTATTTTTATTAATATTTTATGTATATTTTCTTTTATCCAAAATATACATAGTTAAAATTTATATATATAACTAGAAAGGTTACCCCCGCTACGCGGGGGCCAGAAGCTTTCAATGTTGTTTCCGAATTGATA